AGTGTTTAAGAGAGTTCTTCAGCCAGAAATGCAATTATTTTGCAAAATTTTGTCCAAACCAGTCGAAAAGTCGTTAAAAATTGTGCTATTTTTGCTTTTTTAAGCTAATAAACTGTGTTTTTTTTCGTTAAAACAGACTAAAACTTACCAAATTAGATCGGAAATGATAATATTTTTGCCGTTTCAATTATTTTTGAACCTTTTTAAAATAACATTTTGTTCAAAAAGGCCCAAAATGACCAAATTATATGGAAAATTATGCTATTTTTGACATTTTCGAGAGTAAAACAATGTTTTTCAGCTAAAAATAGGCCACAAAATCACTAATCTAGATTCAAATTATCGTTCTATTTTAGTTTGTTTTACTGGATTTATTTTGGTGACCTAAATACCTACTTTTTCTCGAAAAAAATTATTCACAAGCAAGAAAACACCTTTTAAAACGTTTAACGTGTTTTTGAGTTAAAAGATTTTGCAAAATGACCAAATTTGGTCGAAAATAACATTTTTTTTGACTTTTTCAGTTTTCCTTTCCGACATTTTGCTCAAGTAAGCCGAGAAATTATTAGATACAAAATGGTGTTTTTTGCTTATTTTTGAGTAAAAATCTCAATACCCAAAAATTAATTAGGCAAAAAATTGTTTTAGTGCCATTTATTTTCAAGCGAATAAAAACGTTTTTGAGTTTATTTTGCCGAAATTCGAATAACCTAAAAAAATTTAATCTCCAAACATATTTAAATCAAGAGTAAAGAGCAACAAGTAAATGAACAAAATAATTAGTACCCTTTGCAATTAATGAAATCATAACAATGCGTATAAAGAATCGGAGTTGTTTATTAATCGAACTAGTGCAGTTAGTAGTGCAAAATGTCGAATGCTGATGAGCTACAATGTACCTCTCTAGAAATTTTTAAAGTAGCAAAAAGACAAGAAAAAAACAACATTAATGTCATGGTAAAAGTAGAAACGCTTAGGCGCAAAAATAGAATTTTTACTCCTGTAGTTTTTTATTTTCTTCAAATCTTCAAAATAATTCTATTTTATAACTTAAGGTAAAACTTTTCTTTTTTTATTTACATTTTATTTTATATTTATTCATAAAAGTACTCACTTTTGTGATGTTTGCAAATAAAGAATATTTAACTTTAAATATTAAAAAAATCAAATTATATAGGGTGCGCTAGAATTCGCGCCCCAGAGAAAAATTTCAAGTAAGAACTCACCTTATATGGCATTTTTCTTTGGGGCCCGAGTTCTGGCGCACCCTGTATGTAATTGTTTCAAAAAAGTGTAATCTTCTACCTGCACATTTGCTTTCTTTAAATACTCAGTTTTAACAAAACAATATTTTGTTTATAATTCTTATATTTTTATTTTGTTATTTATTTTTATTATTATTTTTTACCATTGCAAGTTTTTGTGTAGGTATAATAAATTTTCAAAAAGATAAAATTTTCCTCAAATGTATCAAATTTTCTAATCAAAAGTTTAAAACAAAACATTGAAAAACTAATAAAAGTATAGCAAAAAATAATAAATAAGTAAACAAATTAACATGTGGTAAAACAAAAGCCCACATAAATAAAAAAATCAAGTGTGTATTGTAACTCATTTCGTAAACACTCTGTATACGTGTAAATAACTTTAGTTACTTAGTATCTATGACTTCTGTATACAAATTTTTAAATATTTTAACGATAATTGAAAATTAATACACTTTATCACCTCGTTGGGCCATCCTGTATACCAGGTTTCACAAAATTTTGTCCATTTGCTAGATTTCGCCAATTCACTTGACATAACTTTTCGGAGAAAAGTGAACAAAAGGTGTTGAAACCTGGTTTACAATTTTTTTAATGATCAATAGACACAATTAGATGTAAACAAAAGTAATTGGAAATAAATTTATTTCATCATCGAAAATTTGAAATAATTGCAAAAACGTATTTCGGTGAAAACCATTATCATTTTCCATTTATTTAGTAATTGCATGTCATCTAAAGGGGCAAACATTCCGCGATGAATTCGTTGCGAAAAATGGGAATTCTGACTAAAATAAATCACATTGTATAGTGTGATGACAATCAACAGATCATAATTATTATTAGAATTGCGTTAAAAGAAACAAATAATCCTTAAAACGAACTCTGTGATTAATCACGTCATCTCTTACGTAAAGAAATCGTTTTTGTTATAGAAATAGTAGTTTGGAAAATATTTCAAATTGCAAAATGGCTAATTATGTTATTACTCTGCAAACTTGTGCAATGTTGAATTGTTTTCAAATTAGTTAAAATCTTTGACGCTGACTTTACACATTCCGTTCTCGGTGAACAATGGCAACTTTGATTAGATTTTCTCCTGAAAATGCGATAATTAATAATTTCCATATCTCGTCAAAATGATAACAGTTTCCTGCAATGACTCCCATAATTATTATGTGAAAAGATAAAAGCACTTTGTATGCAATTATCTGCGATTTCGGAAAATTCGTAGGGGGTTTATTTGCTTTACAATTGGAGCGAATTGAGTAATAATCACACAACTCGAGTTCCCGGAATTCGATAAAAATCATAAAACGAAAATTCACCCGAATAAAGGAGCGTCAAAAATTAAGAAATGGACACACTTATACAGGGTGTTACGGCTAAACCCCACATCAGAAATATTGGGAGTTCTAACAATAATATTTATCTAAAATTTTGTTTATATCCATAATCGGTTAGGTGCTACTCAATGAAAATATTTTCAAGATGGCGACACTTCCTGATACACCGGAAGTGGATATCAACTTCGTTATTTTAAATAGAAAGCTGTGTTTTTTATTGCGTTTTTGGATTACTCAGGTGATTTTGAGAGAGTTTTTATTAGCCTTCCCTATACCTAAGTTTAACCGTTTTCGAGATATTTAGACTTTTTWAAWTTTTTTTGGATTTGAATCTTCCTATTCAAAAATCGATAACTRTACCAGTTTTTATTATGTTGAAACCGTATTTGGGTATACGAAAYAGAAGGGTTAGGTCTTTGCTTTGGTGTATTCATAATTGGAAAAATAATCAACAAACCGCCAAAATGTGAGGTTACGTTTAGGAAACTTCAAACACCCTTAACTCAATTTTTCTAAATGAAACACCCCAATTTTTTTTCACTAAATGGAGGAGAATTTAGTTCTGCTTCGATCTGTATTAAAATTCCCTATACCTATGTTTGATAGTTTTCAAGTTATAGTAACTTCTTTTGATATTGTGAGAAATTCATTAGCATAAGAAAAAAATAGAATATCAAAGTTATTCAAATTTAGATTAAATAGATTTTATTTGTATTTATGAAAAGCATAACACAATTGTGAAAAAAAACTTGGCGTTTTTTCAGTGAGAAATATTTCCATGGCAAACTATGATGGATAGTAATGAATTTCTTCTATTGTAAAAAAAGTCAAAAGAAGAAAAAATTGGGGCCTTCTATTTGAAAAAATTCAGTTACAGGTATTTGAAGTTTCCCAAACGTATCCTTAAATTTTGGAGGTTTGTTAATTATTTTTTTATTGGTCTAACCTTTCTTTTTCATATGCCCAAATACGATTTCAAAATAATTAAAAATGGTAGAGTTATCAATTTTTAGACAGGAAGATGCAAGTTCAAAAAATTTCAAAAAAGTCAAAATATTTCAAAAACGGGTAAATTTAGGTATAGGTAAGTCTGATAAAAACTCTCTCAAAATCCCTTGAGTAATCCAAAAACGTATTAAAAAACATAACTTTCTATTGAAAATAACAAAGTTGATACCCATTTCCGGTATAACCGGAAGTGTTGCCACCTTGAAAATATTTTCATTGAGCAGGATCTAAACAATAATGGCCATAAGCAAAATTTTAGATAAATATCACTATTAAAATTCTCAATGGTTCTAATGTGGGATTTACCCGGAACACCCTGTATCAGATTTCGGAAAAGTGGTTTTTATGGATTTTTCAAACAAAGAATTTATCACAGAACTGTCCTGTATTTGATGAACAAATAAAACTTTTAACACGAATTAACAATCAAATGGCGTGAACTATGACAAAAAACTTATGTAAATGTATGATAAATGATTCCATTCCTAAGAAATGTGATAAATATAGCACCAGATGTGAATGGCTTCTTAATTGTTTCGGGTGCATGGGTCTTTTATTTTTTGTAAAAAAAATTCAACAATCTGTAACACCTAGAGAGATTAAACTAGATTTGAGGAACTGATATTTGATAAAAACAAAAATCCCCAGATATGAATCCTTTCCTTGTACTATTTTTTCACTCCAGAGCTGTCTTATCTAATTCACCACTTCCTGACATTCAAAACAAAAACAAAATAATTGAGCAAAAACCGCATATTTGTAATTATTCTTCTTATTACATTCTAAGTAAAACTGCTTGCGTACTTATTTGACTCATACGCCCTCAAAGAATTAAAAATACAGAGTGATCCATAAATTATTTAAATTCGTCACACAGCTGTGATTCAATGATTTACGACCAGAAAAACTCATTACGAATGCAAATTGCGTTAATTGTTTGTTTTTATTCTTCACTTCACTCAATTAATTGTCCGTTGCTATGCAATGTCATAAATTTTGACACTTTTGATTGTCCGTTGCTAAGCAACACCACACACATTCCTGTAAATAATGGGATTATGTTTAGTCCAGCGCCAACTGGTATTTGTTGACGTCATTGTTGCCAACCTGCGAAACAGTTTTGGGACCTCTGTTTACGCGAGTTGTGGATCTAACCCGCGGCTAAATATATACATATATACGTGCCTTCTACGAACTGAGGATTCCCTGAAATACTCCAGCCAGAGCGCCCCCACTCCACAGCCTGCTTAGCGTGAAGTGAAAACACGTTTTATCATTCTCAGAAGGCTGTGTTCGCGCTGTCTCTCTCCAACATTGACATATTGTCGGTGTTCTCACTCTAAACGTCACACAAGCGACGGTTGTCGTCGGCGCTTCGCTCGTTTTCCATCTCGCATTCGGTAAGCGGCAGTTCGCCCGACAAGTCAAATCAATAACATAACCTAAAAGTAGTGTAACAAAAAAGAAAAAAAAGTCACCGAGTCGGCCTAGGAGAACAATTGAAAGTGTCTTATTGTAAAAATGTGTCCCAGTGCGACTAGTGTGACGCGGACTAGTGCATAAACAAGTGCAAGTTCCTTTTTGGGATTATTCACAATGTGCCTACTCGGATGGTGTCCTCAAGGATTAGGATTAGGTAAATTGACACGCCTTCTAGATCCGTGGGACAATGACAGAATTCGAAGCACATGGTTACGACACAGTGTAAATGACCCTGAAATTGAGTTTCTTAATGAGAAATCATTATCTCTTCAGATTCTCATTTCTCAGTACACAAGCCTTTCTTATCTGGCACTAAAACAAATGAATGACGACCATCGAAACCATTTCGCCGCCCACTGGATCGCGTGCGTCTATTTTCGTGCGTAAACACACCATCATGATTTTTCGGGAAATTCGTCTAAATTTGAATTTCCACGTACTTTCGCGCCGAACTGAATTATTTATGGAGTTCCTGGGAAAACTATAACAAATCTATTCCACTCATAAATTATTCAAACTGTACCACATGCTAATTACTCTTATTACCATAATTTTTGTCAAAATCAAGTTCAACAACCTCTTCCTTCCGGCTTTTCTCCACCAATCACAACGGTAAATTATGCTCAATTTTCGAGACAAGTTGGCCGCGCGCTGTCAATTCTGACAGAAAATCAAAGCCGACCGGGATCGCAGGGTTCAAGCACCGTGTTATACAATTGTTGACTTTACGTAACGATTTTTCTAGTTTGCATCAAAAACGTCAATCATTTGACGGTTTCTGGGAAATTTGGGTGTATTATTACGGTTTTTCCTCACTCAATTGTTTTTAAAAATGGCGAATTCCAAGCCACCGCGATCTGTCATTATATTGTCATTTGAAACAATTCAATGCGTAATTTTAAACACCTGTTCGCTCATTATTCATGCAATACTATCATTATTTGTAATAGTTGTGTTATGTAATGCGATATTTGAAACATCTGATGCATATTTCCATTTTTGCAACAAGTGTCAAATCCGGAAAGTTGGTGCAACTATTAATTGTTTATCAGAAAGCGCGGCCTTGGCGATTTTGATTGTGTCGCAAGGTCGCCTTAAGCACCGCAAATACAGGGTGTTTTCTTAAAAAATTGCAATCAACACTAATAAAATGACGGGTGTTTTTTTCACAAACTATGACGCCAAATTTAAATGTTTAAAAATATCTGTCAAAATAGTTTGACATTAATTTTTTGGCATTTGACATTTTTTATGTTTATTTAA